ATATAATGATGCATAAATCAAGTGGACAGAATCACAGAAAATAAACTGATTCAAAATATCGAAATTGTTTTGTGAAATCCCACTTAAGTTAATTGTAAATTTTGACCTTGCTGATAAAGCATTCAATTTTCTTTCAATTACCCAGAAGCCGAGTGTTCACTATGCACAATTCAAATAAACCTTTGGCATATTCAATATTAATTCTAATAGAAAAGCCCGGCAGGGGAATTTTTCTCATTAGAACCTAGCCACACTTTGGGGGCCACTTTGCAGGCCTATTAGAAACTCATTAGTCGCACGACCCGGGCCAAGTTTGAACTAATAATGTGGTGGCTGAGTCCGATGGCCATCGGCAGCTCAATTGAAAGAAATTTTCAATTTAACGTCAAAGTGTGGGCCCCGGGGCCCACAGAGCGGCATGTGACGCCCAGGATAGCCTAGCCTGGCCTGGTCGAGTCGGCAGCCAAGTGGCCAATTACGTTTAGGAATCAGGATTCACTATTCAGAGTTCCGGATTCAGGACTCGGGAAACAGGCCCCGGCACAGGGCACAAAACCAATCTCAATCTGTGGCATCAAGTAGACAAATATAGACTATTGTATGCCTATGCACGTAATGCATTCCCATCCTGTCTCCATTTGGCATTCAAAAACTGTGCGTCTGTGCGATTTTGACGCATATTTGCCTAGCCCCAGAGCCACCTCACCCACGTCCTTGTCTCAGCCATTGATAGTCCCATTTGTGCACCTAGAGAAGACTTAATCCTTAACCATAATCTTTGGTTATTAGATTTAAAATCTTGTAAACCTTAAGGTTGAACTAGGAACCAAATGGATGTGTTTGTTTTCAAGATATAATGGTGGGGAAAGTCACCTATAAAGATATTTTAATATGATATATTATATGATTTCTTTCCCTTAACATTGTGCTACTTTTCTTTCTGTGCACATTTGTATCTGTGCAAGGCAGCAGCAGGCTGAAATGCACAATTGCTTCATTTCGCAAAAGGATTTTATTAAACCCGAACCCAACTGAAGTTGAAACCGAAGCAAAGTGTTGGTCGATAAAGGCAAGTGGCAGGCTGTGTTCGGTATGGGGGAAAGTGAGTGTCCTGGCAGCCTTTTGCCAGCTTTCCCGGCTTTCCCAGGCAATCGAAGTCGATTTGTGTGTGCGTGTGTCTGCGCCTGTTTGCGTAGTTATGGTAAATATTCATATTTGTAGCGTGTGCGCAATGTGTTGAAATTAGCATTTATGAATTTTGTGCCAAATGTCGAACTCAAACACTTACGTGGCACGTACACACGCATATAGGAGTCGTCTCCCAGCCGCAACTACATTGAGTGACTCGTCGTCCTTCTCATTTAGTCCCCGCCGCCGCCACTTCCATCGCCATCGTCCTTTTTGGCTTCTGTGTGTATTATGCGAGAGATTCCTGGTTATGGCTTTGTGGCTTTCTGGGCCAGCGGCTCACATTCAGTCATTTGCCGTCCATTTGCATTTAGATTGCGGGGCCCAGGAAAACTAAAGCTTCCGAAAACCCCTTAACCCACCGACTCAATGATGGCAAACAACTGCCACAAGTGACTTCTTCGAACTGTTTGGCCAGGAGAAGGCCACCGAGTGACATCTGCTGCTCGACAATTTGTGTGCGGTCCTCTGCGGCGAGGGGTCCGTGTTCATGGGAACCGATTTACATAATTATTAGTGAAAAGTTTTGCAGCAAAAGAATCTTCATTTCACATGCCATATTGCTGAATAGTTTCTTTCTCTCAAAACAACCAGTACGTATAGTTCTTCAAAGTAATTATGTTGCATAAGCTACAGTTTTTCGTATTTTTGCTGCTAAAAAATCATCTTCTTTTTCAATGAACAAATATGTTTAATTTCACCTTAAATATCCAAAAAGAATAGTTTGATTATTCAAGAGGATACATTACATTTTGCTTTATTTTCTAGATCCTATCTAGATATTTTAAATCACTTAATTGATAACTTTGTATCGAAAAAGGAATATAACATATTCCCACGCATTTTCTCATGATTGTTTTAAACATTTTTCACCCAAAAATCCAATTCATTTTGTGGCCACTTTAGCCTTTTGTCAACACATGCGTCCTATGAAAATAAAAAACAAATGCACATTTATTTTTGCGAATGGAATATGGTTTATTGTGTACGATTTGTCCCTCTTTTGCGGAATGGTATTATGATGCTCTTTTATGTGGACCTTAAATTGATTTTTGATTTTTATTGTTTACATAAAGTGCTGCTGGGAAATATTACGAGCTGGAAATCCATAAGTACCAAATGAAAATTCAACTTTTGTCAATGATTTTCCAAACTGATTCAATTTTAAAAGCCTGTCCTCGGGTGATTTTCCCATAACAATCAATGTGTAATTTTCAGGATTCCTTTCAATGGGTGTTTGATTTGGAAAGAGTATGTTTTAAGTTTTTAATGCTAGATGTTGTTAAATATCAAGTTGGAACCTGTATTCTGGTTTGAAGTAGGGGTTTACTTTCTGAAGAAATTGTGTGTAAATTGGATAAATTTATTTAGACGTAAAAAGGAATAATAATCAATAATAATATTAAATGAATTTATTTTAAAATCATATCTAGAAAGGAAAGTGACTTAAAGAATTTAATAGATTGGGTTTCAACTTTAACTATTTATAGAATGAATATATAATATATAACAAGAAAGAAAGCTAACTTCGGCACGCCGAAGTTTATATACCCTTGCAGATAGAACTTCTATGACTAGGAATCCATACAATATAAATTATATATATTTGTGTTAAAAAACAATGAAGTAATACCTGCTTTCATTTCATTCTACAATACATATTATATTTGCAGTTTTACATTCACTGATTTGCATTTTTCCTCCACATCAAACGATCGTTTGTATGGCACCTATATGATATAGTCGTCCGATTTTCATGAAATTTTACACAAAATTTAAGACTAATATAAAATTGCTATACCTCAAATTTGATGAAAATCTGTTGAAAACCGAAAAAGTTATAATTTTTAATTGTTTTAATTTCTCGATCGTTCCTATGGGAGCTATATGATATAGTAGTCCGATTTTCATAAAATTTTATACAAAATTGTAGAGTATAGTAAAATGGCTATATCTCAAATTTGATCTAATTCTATTGAAAACTGAAAAAGTTAAAATTTTTTTTGTAAACATTTTCCGATCATTCCTATGGCAGCTATATGATATAGTCGTCCGATCCGGCCCGTTCCGACATATATACGAGTGAGAGTATATAGAAGGCTAACTACAAAGTTTCATTCAGATAGCTTCAAAACTGAGAGACTAGTTTGCGTAGAAACGGACAGACGGACAGACGGACAGACGGACAGACGGACAGAAGGACAGACGGACAGACGGACAGACGGACAGACGGACATGGCTAGATCGACTCGGCTGTTGATCCTGATCAAGAATATATATACTTTATATAGTCGGAGGTGCCTCCTTCACTGCGTTGCAAACTTCTGACTGAAATTATAATACCCTGCAAGGGTATAAAAAGTTCCATGAAAGAATATTTAAAATGCTAAACTACCCATCGTTGTCACAGTATTTAATTACGCAATTTGCAAGTGTAAAAGCGGAAACATATCATTGAGCAAGGAGCAAGAAGTAACGCGACTGGCAAGGACCTTGCAGGACTTGGGACGACTTTACGTTAGGCCAATTCTGTTCTTTTTTTTTTTGGATGGTCCTTGCACTTGTTTGGCCTTGTCCGCTTTTGATTAATGATGCGGACACAGACTCTGGAACTGGATTTCTTTTTTACGTGCCACGTTAATGCGTGTATCTGAAAACGACTTACATGCTTGCTGCAAAAGGACATGGTCATGGGGTGGGTGAGGATTCAGCGGCGGTGGTGGAAAAACTATGTGGTGGTTGAGACACGGCCCTTTGTTTGCCTACTTTGCCGCCTTTGGCGAACCCCTGCCATTGGGATATCCTTGGCCGTATCGGTGTCGCGATTGGGGTTTAATCTGGTTAACGATCCTGATGACGATGACGACAGCCAGGGGAATTTCGGATGGAGAACCGGAGACGGTGACGTTTAAGCCCAATTGCTGTGGCTAATGTGACACATATTGTGACAAATTGCATGAACTTGTTCCAAGCTTCGGAGGGGTGTCCTTGGCGGGGTTGCTTGCGCCACGATTTTGTATAAACACGTGTTGCAGTTCCTGTAAAATCAATTAGCCACCGATTGCCCAAGTGTTTTCTATTGAAATCTGAGGCAAAATTATGGTTAAAAGTGGTGATAAAATTAGAAGGCTACAAATTTGTGTTCATTAAGGTTGTAATGTTTCGAAATATCAAGAAATTACTTATCAACACAACTAGATTTGGGATTTATGGAGGATAATTTATAGGTTTACTATTAGCACTCTTATATCTTTTGAGTTTGAGCTCTTTGAAACCTAAAGATTTTGTTTAAAATCTTTATAAGTTTTAAGTTGGAAATGCAATTTAAAATACTGAAAATATAAAACGAAGGGACATTCTGATGAGAGTTTGGAACAGGAGAAATGTGTGCATTCGAGACACTGTCTAAGGGGGCCGTAATCATGGGGCGGTCACGGGAGGATACGAATACGGCTCCAGATCAGGATCCGGATACAAACAAGGCCCTTTGAACTATGCCTGACGAATCGGTATTTTACGCCCATTCCAGTTCCAGTTTAACCATCAGTGCCGCCCTTCAGTGCCGCCTTCAGGGGTTCAGGCGACTGCTGTGGCAAATGCTTTGTGCCTGTCAACCGAGCGGAACTAATTTCCAGGACTGCACCTGCAGAGCCGTCCTTCGTCCTTGCCAAATGTTGGTGGATGTTGCGCAAGTGCCACCGAACCGGAATGAGGATTGCCCTAGTTAGGGCTGGGGTGGTGTTTAAGTTCGATTGCTAGCACATTAACATTCTTTTATTTTACAAGGTCTAATTTTGATTTTGGCTTAAAATTCGAATTCGGAGAGACTAGTGATCCGTGGAGTCCTTGACGCCGCACTCGCCGTATGCCTGCAGCTCCTCTGGCCGGAAGTAGGAGCTTTGCATGCTATATAGTCGATCGATCGGATTGATCATCGGCGTCTGGGCAAAGGGTCCCATCAGCTGCTGGAAGGTGGCATAGCTCAGTCCCAGAATCGTGTTCAGTATGGGTTCGCTGTTCTTGTTGCAGTTCTCTGTGAATTCGCATTTAGTTCAGTTTTCTCCGATGACCTCAAGTTTGTGACCTTTAGGGAATACCTACCCTTGTTGGTCTCCATGCAGTTGAAGGGCACTTGCTCCTGTTCGTCCTTGATGGTGCATCGCATCCGGTTCAGTCCGTCGGAGGCCGTGGAGTACGGTGACTCCAACTGCGATTCGCTATCGCTGTGCGCCTCGTCCTTGATCTTGGTGGCCAGACTGCTGTCCAGAGATTCCTGCGAGTCCTGCGAATCGCTGGCTCCCTTGCTGGGCGGCTCCTGCTTGGCCTTTTTCTGTATTTTCTTGACCTTTGCTCGCTGGTTTTGAAACCACACCTGAAAGAATCTAAATTGATATATCTTTTCCTGTAAAGTATTAATTTAATATTAACCTGCACAATCCTTAGGCTTAAACCAGTCTCCTTGGCCAGATTCTCTCTCACTTTGCGACACGGCTTGGGTGACACCTCAAAGGAGGCCTTGAAGGCTCGCCTCTGTTGGGTGTTGAGTATGGTCCTTGGTCTCTTGGGTCCGCGTCTTCCATCCAGCTTGGGCGGAAAGAGCTCATCTCCGTAGAAGTCTAATAAATGGGATCGTTTAATTCATAGTTTTCATTTGGATTTATCCCTTAACTCACCGTATCCCTGCAGCATTTCCACCTCCTTTTCGTAGTCAAAGCGGCAAAAGAGCTGTCCCTGCTTGACCACATACTGCTCGCCCTTCTTCAGCAGGGCTCCACAGACCACGCAGGCAAAGCACTTCAGGTGGAAGACATTCTCGTGGCACCTCATCACGAGCTCATCGGCGGCGATTTTGTGGCCACAGCCAAGGCAACGATTGCGAATGTAGAGTCTGCGGGAGAAGTTACACATAAATAACTATTTAAATCTATCTCTATCAACCGAAATAATATAAGAAATAAGTAAGAAGTGATATCCTGTCAATACTCTCTCCCTATGCAGGGTGTTCAGACTTTCCAGAGGTCACTTGACAGTCATAGGGGTCCAGGGGATGGGAACTCACCTCTCGTAGTCGAGGCGGCAGTAGAGCTTGCCCTCCCTCGCGTAGCAGGAGTGAACCAGGTGCAGCGAGCAGGCGGTGCACTTGAGGCAACCCTCGTGAAAGGAGTTCTCCACCACGCGCATGATGTAGCGATCACAAATTGGCTGGCAACAGTGAGCACACTGGCTCGTCGGCGCCGGATGGGGTGGTCCAAGGCCCAAACCGAGAAGCTCCAGACCCAGTCCGCCCTGGCCTGGAACTGGAACCGAACCCGAACCCATACCCGGAGGCGCTTGCGGTGTGTTGGCTGCCAATGGAGGTGCTGCTGGCGTCGCAAAGCTGTCCATCCCATTGAGGCTGCATTCGCCCAAGGTGATGCGGTTGCAGAGAGGGGGTCCTGGTCCGGGTACAGCTCCAGGGCCCGGCATTTGTCCCATACCCTGCTGTGGCTGATGTTGCTTGTTTATGGCGTTGTTGCTGCTGCTGCTGATGCTGTTGCTGTTGTGGTTGCTGCAACTTCCGTTGACATTTCTGCTGACTGACGCCATTTTGTCATTGTGTCCGGCCTTGCCACTACTCGTAGTCCTTCCTGTGGCAGCTGCTCCAGCTCCTCCGCCTGCTGCCGATGTTGCTGGTGTTGTTAACATGCGTTCATTTCCGTTCAACAGCAGTTGATTGAGGCCCCCGGCCTGCGGCTGTCCGGCCACAGTTCCTCCTCCAGCTCCTGCTCCCAGTTGTTGTTGCTGCTGCTGTTGACATTTTATGTCCATTGGAACTATTTTGGTTTTGCGGTCGTGTCGTGCGTCCAGCCCCCGGAGAGCATGCAAATGAGAAACATTTCAGATATTTTTATTTTCACTCTCCGGCATGCACATTGCGGCCGGAGTGGAGCGGCCTTTTTGCCTCAAATTTACAACTATAGGTCCAGGAAAAAGGGATTTGTATTTGCGGTCCACGGTCACCCCGGCGATATAAACCGAAGCGGAGCCGATGTCCAGCTGCTGACTGTTTCTGTTTCGAGTTGTAGTAAATTTGTGGTTTTGCAATTATTGAAATGACTGGCCCAACAGTACATATATAGCGTGTGTGTGCTGCACTGCACTCGAAATTCCCTGAAATGCCATGCAAAATGGTGAAATGGCGAGTAAAAAAGCCACACGGCCAACGCTGCGTATACGTGATGTGCGTATGTGCGATTGTTCATGTTGGTGGCAAAAAATTACTGTACATTTGCGGTGCTGACTCTGGGTTGGCTTTTTGTGCCTTGTTGTCTCAATTTATGGCAAATTGCTGAAATTTCATCGTAATTTGTTTCCCCGGCTTTTGTTCATGCTTTTCACATGTTTTTCCCCCCGTTCAGAGTGTTTTCTGTGTGCGTCTGTGTGTTTGTCATTCCGCAAAACTGAGTGATTTAAATGTGTTCGTAATTTCATTAAATTTTTCGAAACAAACATTATAACTGGCATGCCAATTTATGCCAGAAATATGCTCAGAATGTTTAAGTGTTCCATCGTCATTGTTGCGGATTAACAACACTCTGTGCTACACCTCTTACGATGATTGAGGTAAAACCGATTTATGCAGTTATGGTTTTAATTATTCTGGTTTTCTATGTGGTTTACAAATGTGGAAAAAAGTTGAATGCAGTTGTAAATGAATTCAATTCGAGTTAATCTAATTGCCGTTTTACTGACCAGGATATACAAATGTGTTAAGAAGAAAAAAATATATAATTTGGAATAGGGTAAGGTAAAAGGTATTCCTTTGAATGGTAATTAAGATATTTACTGACAAAGCTAAGCATATCAAATCATCATATCATAAATATTATAAAGTATTAAATCATAATAAACCGAAATTATCCATAATTTCTTTAAATTCTCTTTTTAAATTATATAATAATAATAATAATATATATATTGTGGCATTTTCCAATTAAATGTGACTTTTTACTACTATCAAATTGAGATAAATCAGTTTCTGTTATCTGAACTGATGGGGTGACTTTGGATTAAAAAAGAAATACTTGTCAATATGTTGTCTGTAGTAACTACGGTCTCCTGCAGGCTGCCACCCACTCTCCAGATTATGATCCTGGTTCTGACTCTGCTCCTGCTCTTCCTCTATACTATACTATAATCCTTGTTCCCCGACTATCCTTAACTTCTGACACTTCTGAAGCTATTTACTAAGGAGTGCCGCTGAATAATCCGCTCAGCGGCCACACCTGTTACACTTTTTGTGCTCCGTCATTCGCCGTCATTTGATGTTTGAGAAAAGTGTATTTCGACATGTTTGCCGGACATGCCTGGGCGAAGGATTCAAGGATTTGCGAGACGGACAAGTGCAAAGCCGACATTGATAGTCAGTCCACTGGCAACTTGCCCCCGCCCTAATTAGATTCTAATGTGCAGCATCGAGGGGCGGGTTAAGGGTGGCCCTGCTTATAACTAGATTATGAACGAATTTCATTGAACCGGGGTCAGAGACAGCATTTAAATGAATCAACAGGGAGGATTTCCACCCTTTGCATGAAAATATGCTTGGGCTTATGAAATTCGAAGGGGATGAGGCACCATGGACTCACGACGTTGGTTTCAGCGGCTGGCGGCATATGTTGGCAGTCGGCAGTCGGCGGAAACCCTTGCCAGGATGCTGGGATTCCCCGGCTGCCGCTCTGCCGGGATGCTGTGTGCTGCCACCGTTCCGAGTCGCAAATCCGCTGTCAGTTGGCAGCAGCTCTCCACGGCAGCCACTGACAGCGTTTTATTTAATCGGATTTGGGCGCACAATGAAGTTATGGTGCCGTTTTGTTGTGCCAGCAATCGCAGCATAAATGCTTTGTTTTGGGCCTAATCTCTGACAGAAGTCAAAATTTGCTTTGCACTGGAAAATATGTTGAAATTTTCACTGGCCCATTGCCAGTTGAACTCGAGTGTTTCCGGTTTGGATTGTGCCAATTCTATGCAATGTTTCTATGCATATTTTGCACAAATGGTATTGATATAAAATGTTTAGCAGAAGATTACAATTAAAGTGGCTAAAGTGGAGTTTTTAACTATTTTTACTTCTTTTATTTAGTCATTGTCTTTATCGATTCAAGTGATTTAAATATATGTGTGTTAGAATAACAAATATTTAAGATATCTTTAATATTTGGATAGTTTGTGAACTGATTGAAGTTGTGCATTTTCTTAATGGAATATTTTTGGACTTGAACTCCGATCAAAATCGTTATTACAAATAATAAAACTTATAATTCATTGACAAGACTAACCAAAAGAATTTAAGTAAATTCTAAATTTACATATCAAAACCCTTAACTTATTCTTTAATTGTTATAAATGCTTTCTTTGGGTGTTTGGATAATATATCTATCTTTCTATAAATATACTGAATAAAAGATTTAAAAGTAATAAAGAACTACTTATATACATTTGATTCCCTGAAAAAAAACATTAAATCAACTTTTGTTTAAGTGAATAAATTAAACAGACAATGTTAACATATTACATAAATGAAAATGAAGTGCAAACTTGAAAGTAACATTGTTATACAACAGGGACCACACATCACTAAACTTCCACTTTAAATAATAAATTAGTCATCATTTAGAATAGTTTAGGAACATTTTAAAATATTTTCTTGATAAAAAAATGCCGTCGGGTTTTTAACTTTTGGGGTGTGGAAAAGCCGACGGTATTTGAGTTTCATTTGGAAAATCACAACCGTCGGGTCCTTCGATACTTACACATTCCGATCTGCATGGGATGCTGCTCGTCGATCATATTGGAATCCTTTGGTTTTCAATAGAGGAAACTCTATATATTTAAATATATATAAATTCACGTTCACAGACTTTTACATAATTTTCGCGAGCGTTTTCTTTACTAGATATCTCGGCGAATGCCTTGGCAACAACTGTTTCGAGGGACACACATTGCAGACTCGGACACTGGCCGTGATTGCAGTTGGGATCTTTTTGGTAATGGCCAGTATCGGACTCTTGTGACCTGGCCCTGTTACGAAACGCGATGCTTGAATGATTACGGACCTCTGATGTTAATGAAATTTGTTAAAAATCATTTGCTCTTCTTGGGCAAAATGCACAGGCATCCGATGCTGGCGAGGAAATTCTCTCCATTTTGGAGGAGAAATGGAAATGGCCAATGTGTTTCTGTGTGCGTGTGCGCCATTTTAGCCATTTGGGGAGCGTTTTGCCATCCCTTGGGCAAAAAAACGTTGAGAGCCAGCCATTTGCCTTCCCCAGCTTTTGAGATTTGGCGCATGCGCTGCGCCATTGAACTTCGTGTCCTGTGAGTCCTGTGGGCGCTACCGAGTTATTTTGCCTTTGTTTTTTTTTTGTCTTTTGCACTCCTGACTTTTGTCTTTGTCTTTGCTCATGGGGCGCTCGTTCGGGCGCTTTTATTTGTTTTGTTGTACTATATACGTATTTTGTATTGACAAAAGGATGTTTGGCTCGGCGATTCCTTGCTTGCTTTGTCGCCTCAGCAACAACATCCCCCGAAAAGGGACTCGCTGGCCGCCCTATCATCTCTATGGCTGGAATTTTGTTTTCTTTTTTTTTTCACTTCTTTTCTTTTGCCCCCTTCGATGGCTACGATTTTATTCGCTTGTACATTTTAAATTTATTGATTTTCGATGCCATAGAATGGTCTAAAATTAAAGGCAAGCCCGGCAGTTTACTGGCTTTAATTAGGGAGTGAGGATAGAAGAGAGTCCTGTTAATGACGCCCGACCCTTTAAACTTGGCCCTGGTGAATTTTTGGTCTATTAACCGAACGCGCCAAAACTTTAATGTCTAAGCACTTGCCGGCTGACTGCATGTCTAGCTGCGAGATGCCAGATGAGGACTTGTCTGGCCGAAACTCCGGTCTTCTGGCTGGCCCTTGGGTCGGCTGTTTTCCGACGAAAATTCCCGGAAAGTTTCGTAAACGCGAACGTGTTACTCACAATTAGTGTGCAGGCGGACCATTTAACTGCCAGCCACCTTTGGGTCTACCCCTGGTCTCCCTCTCCTCCTCCCCGATGATGATAATAATTATGTGCGGTAATCTTTGTGATTCATAATCGGCTACACGAATCCCGGGGATGTGCTGGGAATTTAAAGTACAATAAAGCCACATTAAATACTTGATCCTTTTGGATAACAAAACTGTGCGCGTTGGGTTTATATACATAGCCTTGTGGATTTTTACATGGTTTATAAATAGATGGCTAATAAATTAATAAAGATGGAGATTAGGTTTATTTGGGTTACTAAGGGAACTTTTGGGGGGATGCTGATAATAAAGAATAAATAAAATTTGAATGGCAAGACCTAAGGATGGTAAAAAGCCAGCTTAGATACTTTTTACCCAAAGACATCTAGGATTTTCAGTGGATAAATATAAAAACTTAACATTGAGAAACACTTTCATCATGGCATTTAAATACTAACGACTTCAGAATTTAATGGCTGAACATTTGCTTAAATATTCACTTTGCATTTGGGTTCTCCTTGAGATTTTGTAAATTTCAAAATAGAGCAAATCCTGACCTGACACATCCACCTCCTCCGCTGCCGCGATGAAACTTTTGGCACTTTGTCTGCTCGCAGCCTAGACATGGCAACTCAAGGGCGGCTTCCTCGAGCATTCCAACTCCCAATCCTCTATCCCTATCGAAAGGAGCCCCTCTGGCCGCCCCCGTGTCATCGTCTGTCAGGGGCGCTGGGTTCGCATACCGCTCGACACTTGCACTTGGCTGCTGCTAAAGACTAAGATTAATTTGGGTCACTGTGTTGCTGCCACCATCCCAGTATCAGGCTGCCTCATCGGGTCGGAGAGTTCCCCAGTCGGGGTTGGAGGTTCGAGTGCAGCAAACTATACATTCGTAGGGGAATTATGCGCGTGCCTTTTGTTTGAATGAATATGCAGGATGCATAGGGAAGTGCCGGGCGGAGGCGGAGATGTGGCACTGGGGGTGCGGTGTTGCATGTGCGAATGGCGAACGGCGGGACTTTGGCGGCGTGCGGCGGAAACTGAAATTGTTCGGGGTTAATTAAACACGACATGTGTGGCATTGCATGCATTTGTGCGGGGGGCACGAGAGGAGCTATCCATTGGCATGGGGCCCATGGTGACCCGTAAGTGTGAACCCCGCCGAACTGTGAACCATGAATAGGGGGATCGAACGCGCTAATCAATGCGCCATAATAGACAAATTGCCTGCCGCCCTCGATTCGAGTTCATTACAATCGAATTGTCGGCGCGTCGATGCGTTTATGAAGTTTCACTTTTCCAACAAATGCAATGCCACACAAAAGGCGGAACTCTGATTTACGAGCTGATAAGTGAATGCCAGTTTTTGGCACTAATTCTGATACTAGCAACAAAAGGGATAGAAATGGATTTTACATTTATTTTTGTCTGAATGTTGAGTTTTCATTCTAAAAATTATAATTTACAACCTTTAAACTTCTATCTTAGGAAGAAAAAATATTGTTTAAAATCAAAGTCAACAATAAATTTATTCAAAGAATATTGTTTGTAATTTGTAATAATTAACTAAAAGTTGTGCAAAATTTTACATTAAAACAATACAGGTTGTGCGACGTATTGTCAACGAACTAGTGTGCAACATGGCGTATGGATCACTCTCTCTCTCTTTCTTTTTTAGAATATCTATCTCTTTCTGTGTTTCTCTAGAGATACCCCTTACTCTCTCGCTCTCACTTTCTCTATTCTCTGCACTCGGAGACTATAAATACCAGGCACTGCCGGCGCACCGTCCTCATTCTGTCCGCCGCCTCCCACCTGTTAACATCAATAGTGAAAGTGGTGTGATAGTGATAGCCCTTCTTCGACCCCAAAACTATCACCTAATCAATGCAATACATTTAGATAAGCAGGAAGAAGCTCAATTCGATGATACCATGAACTAATTGAAGTCCCCAAGAATAAAACTTTGCACTAGAAGTATATAAATTTAGATACTATATAAGGAATCAGGTCTAGGTCTAGAATTATGTATTTATTTTCCAATTAATTCCCTTTTTGCCAGGGACCTCATAGCCTTATTTTAATTTAAAGTGATACAGCAATTTGTATTAGGGATATCTACCTAGCCTAACTTGAATATGAATTATCACCAACTATGAAAAATAAGTTTTAGTATAAGCAAATTGCATTCCAGGTTTAGGTCGGAACTAAAAGCTTTTTGGAAGTGCCCAGCTTATAAGTTCCACATCATCTTTCCATTCCCTCTCTCTCCCACAAGCCGAAGCATCACCGCCTTTCATTATCACAGAGCGATCTCTACCGTTGACCAGTGCATATCAGTTCTTCCCACGCTGTGCAAAATAGTAAAAAGCTTACGACGCAATTACAAAGATAGGAGCCAAAATTATTAGTGATATTAAAGTGAAGTGAAAAGTATTAGTGAAGTTGGTGCAAGACCGAGAACAGCCTCTGTTGTGTTTTGTTTTTGTACCTTTTTTTTAAGTGCCAAGATCAATGCGATCTCTTTCTAGTGATTTTTTAATGTATTTTTTATATGTGAAAGTGAAAAAGAAAAGAGTATTTAGTCCCACATCGGAGGCTGTCGCGTTTTTTGTTTACAAAGATAGTACCAGTGCGTAATTTCATTGATAATGTTAATGACAATGTTTTTAATTATGGTATACCTTCAATTAAGAAGGGCTTTTGTTGGACGTTGGCTTCTAATTCACCGTTGGGATCGATCTGCAGCAACAACTAATATAAAGGGGTGAGTGAAACAAAAGTATTTTTATCTTACTCTTAGCGTTGTATTTATATTTCTCCCCTTCCCTCTTGTCCCTGAATATCTGTTTCTTATCAACCTGTAAAGTGGAACCTAAGAGCGGGAGATCCACTTTAAGAATATGATCCACTTTTGTGGCTGCTAATTTCGGCAGCTTGAAAGGTGCAAAGCTTCTTTTGTTTACCTTTTCTTATGACGTATAAAATTATCTACTTCTACTTATAATACCCTTGCTGGGTATTTTCGTTGGGAAATGTTTATTGAATTTAATTTTAACAAGACTTTGTTTGCTTTAAAATATTTATGATGTTTTTTTTGGGGAAATGCAATCGGGACTTATAATTTATGTAACCACCTCGCAACGGGAAGATTACAATCAATTGATACGAACAAATTGCGAACATATACATTCTGTGCACCACTAACGACGTGATAAATGTATGCCCCTCGACTTTTCCGCTTTTCCAAAAGAGCTAGAGGAGGGGGAGAAGCTGAAGAGCTGCATTTGTATGCAGAAAAAGCCTCCCCATAAATGTCCTCACATGAGGACATAACCCGCGAGGATCTGAGTCTCCCGCTGCTCTGACCTGTTGAGCCAATTGGACTGACGGGGATAAAAAATAATACACAAATATGTATTTATTTATATGTGGCCCAAGGAGGCCCAGGCGGCCCTCGGCAAACGCAGAATGAATAAAATATTTGGCATTACAAATTGTTGCGATTTTTCGTTGGCCGTTGGCCCCGAAGGGATGTGGATGCGATTGCGGATACGGATACGGATGAGGATGAGGAGGAGGATGAGGCGGAGGATGCTGTGTGCCCAGTGGGTGGTGGTATAGTGTGGCAACAAAGTAACGCTGAATTATGCGTTGACCAGGACCCAGGGACCCAACGCCGCCAGTATCCTGGCGACAGGCCTAAAAAATAAATAAAACAATTTACCTCAAGGCGTAATAAAAGTTCATGGCTGACAAGGGAAAAGAGAGGGGAAAGCTGGAAGGGTGTTGTGTTTGTCCCCCAACTACAGTGTGCAAAAAAAAACCCAGGTCGAAGTGACACAATAATCTTTGAGCCTACTTTTATACACACACACCAAGGGTTTAGTTAATCTCAGTCAACTGTTGTCGGTGTTTAACTAAAGGAATTATGAAAAATTGAGATTGCCTTTAGCTTAAGGTTAAACCACTAATAATAAATAGCTAATATACAGATTTAAATCATTATCTTTATGTTCGAA